ACCCTAGAGGAACCAGAAGGGAAGCATGACCTCAAAGCCCTACTCCAGACCACAACCACAACAACAACGACAGCAACCGCAGCAACAGATCCAGAGAGGAGGCTATCAATAAAGGCCGATGGGACAAATCCAGTGCTTTCATTGCCAACAATTAGGGCACAAAAAGAGCGAATGTCCCCAACTCCCTCCATCGGGATACCAAGGAGGAAGTTCCGGAGCAAATGCCCAGGCGTTAGGTGGGCAGAAGCCGTGGACAAATAAGACAGGGTCTACCGGGCAACAGCACCAGAAGAGCGGAGGAACTCAGAACGCCAAGACCAGTGGCAACTAGAATGCAACCGGCAGAATCTTTGCCCTGCAAGAGGAAGAGGCAGACCCGTCCATAATTGAGGGTAACTTAGTACTATAGTGCGCTGCCTAAGAAAGCTGGACTTAGAAGGGAGGCTATTTTGACTCCTCCGGCGATCTGGGATCTTACTTGGTTATTGGCCATAGGACTCACTAGTGACTTCCCTTGACTGCAACCTATAGTGTAGAATCGGGGCGTCACAACTTGGTATCAGAGCCTAGGTTCAACCCTTAACCCTCGCAACCCTATACGCGACTCTAGAAGCCCTTACCCCTTATCTTATTTTATTCTATCACACCATTATAAGAAGATTGACTAATAAAAATCTTTTCCACCTTAGGATGTCATCGGGAGGCTACGTCAGTACCGACTCATGGGGTGTTTTTCGTATGCAAGGAAGGAGGGCCATGTCCGTCAGCCCTTACTTTAGCCGCCGACGCTGTGAAATCACCGCCGAGGAAATGATCAAGACTGAGATACGTAAGGTGGAGACAGAATACCCCCGCTATACGAGGGCGCAGAAGAGGTCTTTGGTGCGGCGCCGCCTGCAATTTCTAAGCCGGGCAGCAAGAAAGGCAGTCCGAATGGAACAAGATGAACAGAAGATGGACTTCCTGATACACTGAGCTCTGACCACCATGGCACCGACTTAGGCTGAAAGCCACGAATCTTGTTACCATGGGCCAGGTGACAATCAACCAATGGATATGGAGCAGCCACCAGAGCAGCAGGGAGCGAACCTAGCCCACCCTATAGAGATATCATCTGAACACAATCCCCCCTCACCAATGTACACCCCTCGCTCTCCGGGGCAAGCTACCGACTCTGCTGATGAAGACCCTGACGAAGACTTTGATTGGTCGGGAAACGAGAACTAATTCGAGGGGTAGTAAAACTAGACTTTTGTAAGATCCGCTGATGAGGATCCCTAGAATAAGATAGCTTGAACTTGTGTGCGTAGATGCTCTTGAATGTAACTCCGACATAGGAGGCCTTTTGTAATGATGCCTATTATTATATATATAAATGATGCGTTGATCTATGTTATTGATTGTTACTTGCTTTAGAGCACCCTAAGGAAACTGAACCTTTATTTCAAATCTAAGTAGTAAGATTTTCTAAGACTGGAAACCAACTCACCTGGTGACATGAACAGAATGGTAGACACACGAGCTAATGGCTATACCGAAACCAGCAACAATGTACGAAACCATCCCAGGCATCAACATGAACCCATCCCCAACAACCTAGGTCATCAGATTTTGGAGGAACTAGGGCAAAGAAGGAACAATCGGCAGAATGAGAGGACTCGACTCTTTTCTGAGTTTTGAAAGCAGAGACCCCCAAAGTTCACAGGCGTACCGGACCCGAAGATAGCTGAGAATTGGCTTCAACAGATAGAGAAAATGCTAGACACCATGGGCATCACCGAGGCCGCTGATAGAATAGCTTTGGCAGTATTCGAGCTCGATGATGAGGCTGACCATTGGTGGGAGTTGATGAAGAACACTCGTGACGTAGCAAGCCTGTCATGGAACCAGTTCAGGGAACTATTCTTAAATAAATATTTCCCAAGTACTATCCGCCGAGAACGAGTCAAGGAATTCCAGAATCTGGAACAAGGAAATATGACCGTGACCCAGTATGCTGCAAAATTCGAAGAGCTAGCCCGCTATGCAACTAGACTCGTGGCAAATGATGAAGAAAAAGCAAGGATGTTCGAGTGGGGACTGGATCTTACAATTAGAGGAAGAGTCCTTCCGCAACGACTCCCCTCATATGCCGAGGTGTTGGAAACGGCATTAGAATCTGAGAGGGAAGTAAACGACGCCAGGAAAGCTTGGAATAAGAGAAGAGGAAGTCAGGCAACAATTGGACCCCAGAGGAACCAGAAGGAAAGCATGACCTCAAAGCCCTACTCCAGACCACAACCACAACAACAACGACAGCAACCGCAGCAACAGATTCAGAGAGGAGGCTATCAAAGGCCGGCGGGACAAATCCAGTGCTTTCATTGCCAACAGTTAGGGCACAAGAAGAGCGAATGCCCCCAACTCCTTCCATTTGGATATCAAGGAGGAGGTTCCGGAGCAAATGCCCAGGCATTAGGTGGGCAGAAGCCTTGGACAAACAAGACAGGACCTACCGAGCAGCAGCACTAGAAGAATGGAGGAACTCAGAACGCCAAGGCCAGTGGCAACCAGAAGGCAACCGGAAGAATCTTTGCCTTGCAAGAAGAAGAAGCGGACCCATCTATAATCGAGGGTAATTTAGTACTATACAATTCTTGGGTGCATGTTTTATTTGATACCGGTGCATCACATTCTTTCATATCCTCTGCTTGTGCTAAGTCATTAGAACTTGTATGTGAACCCTTAGCAACTGCCTTAAGTGTAATGTCACCTATGTGAGGATGCGCTCGGGTAAGATCGATCTGTAAGGACTGTAAGATAGGGATGTTGAACCTATGCTTAACTTGCGACCTTCGTGTTATGGAAATGTTGGACTTCGATATCATCTTGGGCATGGACTGGTTGTCCGCCCACCGAGCAGTGATCGACTGTCGTCAGAAGAAAGTGGTAGCTCATACACAAGATGGAACACGTTTCCAGTTTAAGGGGGATAGACAAGACCCCATGGTTTCAACAAAGCATCGGATGTAGTGGCGCGACCAACTTGCCGGTAGGATAGCAAGCCTAATTCTAAATGAGGAAGGCCAAGGAGAAATAGAGCTTCCACGCATAGTGTGCGATTATGCAGATGTATTACCCATGGAATTGCCAGGATTGCCACCAACCCGAGAAGTAGACTTTAGCATCGAGCTACAACCTGGAACTACCCCAATATCCATGGCTCCGTATCGCATGGCACCAGCAGAACTACGAGAATTGAAGACACAGCTACAGGAATTGCTCGAGAGTGGATTCATTAGGCCAAGTACTTCGCCATGGGGAGCACCCGTGTTGTTTGCTAAAAAGAAGGATGGATCGTTGAGGCTATGCATCGATTATCGTCAACTCAATCGAGTCACGATTAAAAACCGATACCCACTCCCGAGGATTGATGACCTTTTTGACCAACTTAGAGGCTCAAGGTGCTATTCAAAGATCGATCTCAGGTCAGGTTACCATCAACTACGAGTCAAGGAGGAGGATATACCAAAAACTGCCTTTCATACTA